GTAGTGAAAATAACACATTTTTTTAAATATATATTAGAAGTAAAAAAAAAACTTGTATTTTACAACATAATGCGATTTTTTTTTTGATTATATGATATTGATAAAAAAAAAATTACACCATTACTTGGAGATACAAATTTTTTTTTCTCATGTTGAAAATCTAAAAAAAATTTGCTCTGCTAATCATGAGAGATCTTTTTTTTTTTTACGTATCCTCTATATGAAAAAAAAATTCTAAAAGAATAACCTTACATTAATAAATTTTTTTAATTTATTAATGAATAAAAAAAAATTACCATACTTCCCCATGTAAATTTGATTTTTTTTTTTTTATTACATAATTCTAAAAAAAATAATAAAATAATAACGATAATAATTACCCTTTTTTTTCATTAAAACGGAAAAGTAAAAAAATCACAAGAAAAAAGTTATTTTTTCACAAGCTTTTTTTACCCAAAACATTAATTAAAAAAAACCGGAATTACCTGTGTATTTTATGATAAAATTTTTTTTATTCCACTATGGTAAAAAAAAAAGGTTTACTTCAAGTACAAGATACATATCATTTTTTTTTTTGCCACTCTACTTTAAAAAAAAGCACTGACCTATCATTTAAAATCTATCCCATTTTTTTTGTTCTACAAAAACCACAAAAAAAAATGCCAATAAATCCCCTAATAACTTCTTTTTTTTTTTACAGTTATACAACTAGAAAAAAAAAATAAAAACCTAGACGTATTCTTATCTCCTTTTTTTGGAAGTACATGATATAAAAAAAAAAATAGCAATCAAATCTAACAATACCATATGTTTTTTTTTTAATTTGTTCCAACTAAAAAAAGGAAAGTTGTTCAGCTGTTAACTGAAGTCCTTTTTTTTTGAATATCTCCCAGGAAAAAAAAAGATGAAAAACATTTCTTAACAGTTTATTATTTTTTTAACATTTCCTTTTATATAAAAAAAATGAAAAAAAAAAAATGGAACAATCTAGAGTTTTTTTGCATTCAATTACAAAAGAAAAAAACTATGATATAATTATGTTATTTTTATAAACTTTTTTTAATTCACAATCATTTTCAAAAAAACAACACATTTTGAAGTAAGTGCTTTTAAAGTTTTTTTCAAACTGACAGCTTTATAAAAAAAAGCATATGAGTTAGAAACCCATCAATAGACTTTTTTTTTAATAATCAGTGATAAAAAAAAAAAAAGAAGGAACTTATTGATTGACCAACAGTTTTTTTGCCAATGGTTTATGATAAAAAAAATCTATTTGAGTCTGAGAAAACCAGACTGACTTTTTTTACCCAAGCGATCCAATAAAAAAAAAATTATTAACCTGTAGGATATTTAACTAAATTTTTTTACTTGTATACAAATTTAAAAAAAAAGTTGTCATTGGAGAGCACTTGTAAGTAAATTTTTTTACAATTAAATTGCACATAAAAAAAGTAATTTTAACTGCTGCCATGAAAACATGGTTTTTTTATGTATTTCATATTGAAAAAAAAAATAAAAATAAGGATTCTATTAAAATCAATTTTTTTTTTCTGAAAATCAAAAGCAAAAAAAAATAATATGTAATCTTATCAAAAGACATTCATTTTTTTAAATCATAGAAGCGATCAAAAAAAATGAAAACTTGCAAAGTTTTCCAGCATTGTTTTTTTTACTTATACACACAGCAAAAAAAAATTTTCTAACATAGCAAATGGGTAAAAAAGGTTTTTTTAGCTTTACTGCTGCTAAAAAAAAACCCTATCATAGTATTGACAATGGTTAACTTTTTTTTTCAACCCACAAAAGTTATAAAAAAAACCATGAAAAGATACAGTATAATTTTAACTTTTTTTTAGTTCACAGTAGGCTTAAAAAAAAATTTGTTTGTAGATTGACAGTCCAATATTTTTTTTTTCATTAAAGTGATCAATAAAAAAAATCAACTGTCTTGTTAATTGTTTCCAAATTTGAATATCAGACTATGAAACAATCAATAAAAATAGCCCTGGTCTAATATACATGGCATRTGTTTTTTTTCAAATGATGGAGAGTTTAAAAAAAGGAGAAAGCTGTGACGTGTGGAATCAAAATTTTTTTTGTGTTAGAAGGCCTGAAAAAAAAATTTTTGATATTGACGAAAACACATCATCACTTTTTTTAGTATAAGATAGTTTAAAAAAAAAAGAAGCATTTATTTATAACAAAGCACTCAATTTTTTTCACAAGTAAATAATTTAAAAAAAATGAAAGATACATGTATAGAACATGACTTGATTTTTTTATGTTAAAATCTCACTGAAAAAAAAAATAACACAAAAGTTTGGGAACATAAAATTTTTTTTCCAAATAAGTTCAAAGAAAAAAAACAAACAAGAAAACAAAAGAAAGAATAAACATTTTTTTTGTATACAGAATGTTTGATTAACTTCAAACAATTTGGTAAAATGGTAGACTCCTTTTTTTTATGATGCTCCATGGTTTAAAAAAATTCTTGKTCTTTTTTCAGCATTTTTGAGCCTTTTTTTGTACAGAAAGTTCAACTAAAAAAACCTTATTGCATCTCTGTCTTATTCTCAAAATTTTTTTGTACAAGTTCCCACATGAAAAAAAAAAAACACCACCTTGCTTTCAATTTCTATATTTTTTTATCAAATTACTAACATGAAAAAAACAATATGACACCCATTTTTACCTGCTTATATTTTTTTTCATTTCTTGGACCATTAAAAAAATTTTAAAAAAATCAAACTACTTAAGAATTATTTTTTTTTAACTGAAAATTCATAAAAAAAAACATAAAAAACGTTGTTACAGTTCAACAGATTTTTTTCAAATTATCAATTGAAGAAAAAAATGTGAAAATCACAGCTGTAAAAGTTAATTATTTTTTTTCACAAGGATTCAATAGAAAAAAAATAATTGTCTAAAAGGTACAGCGTACAGCATTTTTTTGACAATGCCCAGGTAATAAAAAAATATTAAACATACATTAATTGCTTCAAAATGTTTTTTTCTAACAAAAGGCCTTTTAAAAAAAGCTGCCAATTGCTTTGATAGCATCCAACTGTTTTTTTCGCTTCTCTAAACACTGAAAAAAAAAATACAAACACTGCTACGTTTTACATTTCTTTTTTTTCTGCCTGCAAAGGTGTAAAAAAACCTTGTGAAATTTTGATTTTTTTTTTCATTTTTTTTTAAGGCAAATGGACGGATAAAAAAACAGCCAATTAGACGCTTTTGTCAAGGTGTGTTTTTTTTGAGTCAATTATTGTAGAAAAAAAATAACTGACGTAGTTTTTACGTCAATGGGATTTTTTTTAATTTTTGTAATTTTTAAAAAAAAACTCAGTCTAAATCTGTGTAAATACCACCTTTTTTTACATAACAGGAGTCCACAAAAAAAYTTGGGAAAAATGCTGAATGACACCCAACATTTTTTTCMGATGAGAGTCAAATGAAAAAAAAAAAGGAACCAGTAGGAGATTAGACTCAACTTTTTTTAATAGAATTAAGTACAAAAAAAAAACAATATTATTCAGGCTAGTCGCATGTTTATTTTTTTGTTTGCAAGTTAATGATAAAAAAAAAATCTATGAAAAACCAAGTCTGTAAAATATTTTTTTAATTCTAGGATAACATTAAAAAAATTGACTTATACACAATTGAATATTATATATTTTTTTTATTATTCTCTCTGTTATAAAAAAATTTTAGGGGATTAAAAAAACTAAATCAGAAATGAATCGCATTGTCTCTCAAAGGATAATGTACAATTTACTACCAAATGCATTCAATTGTGTTTTTTTTAATTATTGATAAAAGTAAAAAAATTAGCACACTAGGCCATGACTAATAATATTTTTTTTTGCTTTATATACTACACAAAAAAAATCAGCTTACTGTAAATTACGAAAAATACCTTTTTTTTCAAAATATAACCTGGTAAAAAAAACAGAAACCACAAATTCTAAATATTGAGTTTTTTTTTTATTAATTTTTGTTGATGAAAAAAATATTATACTGTGACCATTGGAGTGGCAAATTTTTTTTGCGTAAGGTGTTAATAAAAAAAAAATTACACACTTGATATCAATGCATATAATGTTTTTTTAATTCAAAATGTTMAGAAAAAAAATGGCTTGGTTTCTTTGTCATTAGAACAGTGTTTTTTTCATGGTGTATGACAGGTAAAAAAAGTTCTTTTCATTTGCAACTACTGCATAATTTTTTTTTTCAACAATAATCTTCAAAAAAAAAATAAAGGATTTGAATTTTATATAAGATCATCAAAATGGTGATTAATCAAATCATGCCATGAAAATATAACAAATAACATGATATATAAGACTTTT